ACTTGTCTGGTAACAGAAATTCTGGTCTCCATAGTGGTCATAAGTCAAGGACTACCTGGAGCTACTAAAAATTATAACTGCCTTGAGTTTGACTTGACTCCTAGTGGTTATATTTGTTTATATCTCTGACATTTTACTTGAAACAATTTGGAAATGGTTTTCTGTTGCTTCCTTCCAGGTTGCTTTTTGCCTTCCCAATCTATAGCTCTGGGATTTTCAAGTGCGCTCTGTCTAATAACACCAACAAGGTCCAGTCTTGCTTAGCTTCCCTAAAATCAGCCAAGGTTGGTTAGATTCTGCCACCTGCTATGATTGGTGACTACCGCCAATCAACCATTCGGGCTAAACAGGTGGATGATTTTCCCACAACCAATTGAAGTAGTAATGATGAGGGCATTAATCATCTAACCATACCTGGGAGACTCATTTATTTGTTTATTTTGCAAATTGTATATGGCAGCCCATCCTTAATCCAATAACTCCAGCTGGCTAACCAAGCACAAGAAGAAAAGCATTCAAACCAGTGAAAGGAACAATGCAAGACACCAGTTAAAATAATCAACTCCTTAACAATGCAGAGCAAACCACATAGCCAGGCTCTGTTAGCAATTTTAAGGAATCCTGAAAGGCCAACAGAGTCAAAATATGTTCTGCCACTTGTGAATTTTTCAAAAAATCCCTGATGTTTTGCAGATAGCTTTCCCATCCAAAGAGGAAGACAAGAAAAAGTCAGGTGTTGAAAACTTCCGATTTGAGCTTCTTCGGCGACAGACCGAAACCTCGTTTCTGCAAGGCTTTGATCCGTGCTCGCCGCTGGAGCGCCCCGAGCCAGCTGGTTTCGGGGCTAAGCCACCCCGTAGAGGTGGTGAAGAGGGGAGAGACTGCCTGCAGGGTTGAGGAGAGCCGCATCTCTCCTCCCCAGCTGACCATTACTCCCTTTCCCGAAGGCGGTTGTAGTGGTGGTCAGAAATGGCCACCACAAAGAAGAACTCGACGGGAAAAGAATGTGTAGGAGGAAGATAAGAAGAGAAAGTTTTTGGTTGACCGGGTCAAACAGCAAAAGCAACAAATAAGGTACCCTGGAATTGAAACTATTAAAAAAAAACACAATAACATTGTTCCCTAAGAAGATTTTTAAGCTGCGAAGGAGGGAGAAAAGGGAAAAGATTTGGGTTTTTTTTTTCTCCTTTTCCTATACTGACAGCTAAGAGACTTAAGCAAGAAATTGGAAAAAAATCCACTTTGACATTAATAGGCATTTAATGCTGAAAATAAAAAGTCAAAGGGATAATAAAGATTTCTGGATAATCAAAAGCTTTTGAAAACAGGAAAGGAGAGAAAAAGAATAAAAGGGCAGGATCTGGAAGGGAGGAGACTGCCTGGAATTAAAAAGAACTTACAGCAAAATCTCAACAAGACTTCCAAAAGATACATTTTAACTGAAATATCGCAACAAAAACCCCAGGAAGAGAAAGTCGAAAAAGAAATAAGAAGAAATAATTTGGGACTATTTGGATTACTTGATGATTTCTGGATTTTTGCTTATTGTATTTGAATGACTAAAATCAATCGGGTGGTTGTTTAAAACTGTTTAAAATGGTTCCACTTTTAGAAGAACTGAAAATGGAACTTAAAAAGTACAAAGAAGATGCACAAGAAGGGAGAGGTTCTTTTGGCTTCGTATTTCAGTTTTTAGAAATAGAGATTTGGAATTATGAGAAACAAAAAGAAATGCCTGCAGAACAAGAAGATTGTGACAAAGAAGAAGCCATCTTTAATGAACAAGTAATCTTAGGTGGGGGGAAAAAAGGAAAGGGGGGAAAGAGAATGGAAAATTTAAGATTGGGAAAAACAACTTGAAAAAAAAAATAGAGTGAAAAATAAGTATAAAATCAGAAAGCAACAGAAGAGGGAAATGCAGAAGAGAGAATTAGAACGAGAGACAAGGGGGTAAAAAGGGGAGGGAGAAGAAGAGGGAAGAAAGAAAGGAAAAGAAGTTATAAAGGACAGAAACAAAATATAGAGAAACGGCCTATTTAGAGATAATGGGTGAAAATTTAATGGAAAAGGGGATTCTGCAAAGGTACATAAGATAGTATTGTTATATTAGAAACAAATAATTTTAGAAAATATGAAAAAATGTTTGATAAAATAGCTATCGTAATTCAGTGGAATGCTTTTCAATAAATAAATGTAACAAAATGAATATTTAATGATTTACAAAACATGTGAAGAGAAATAAGGGAAAAATTAATTATGGAGATTATATGTGTCTTTAAGGAAGTATGATATTTAATTGAAAAGTGTTAAAGATGTTAAGATTTTAATGATTATTAATGATAGAACTGATTTGGAATGGAATGAGGGTTTATAATTACATATATTTATGATCTTTTAAAAAAAAGAATATAGGATGTATTATAAGAATGTACCAGCAGAATTCGATTGGAAGTTATGTATTCTGTATTATATTGAAGGTCATAACCTTAAGGTATATATTGAAGTTTAAATAAGAGTTGAATGGATGTAATTAAAAGATATAAAGGTGTCATTCTCCAATTAATAACTACAGGAGAAAATTTGTTTAATGAGAAAAGATAATATGAAATTGAAACAGAACAGACAAAAGTATAAATATAATGATTTGAATTGAGATGCAATAATCAAAATAAAATTGAGAAAATTAAAAGAGGGGGAAAAACTATATAGAAAATGTAGAATAGTATAAGATATGGAATAGAATACAAAAAGGAGCATGAAATTGAGTTTTGTGTCTGTATAAAGAAGTTCAACCGGGGACCATGCTATTTTCAAAAAAGATGTTTTACTTGTATTTTGTATGTGTGAAAACCCAAATAAAACTTTATTTAAAAAAAATAAAAAGAAAAAGTCAGGTGTTCTGTTTGTTTACCGTGTTGTATTGTGAACACACACAGACACACATACATATCTATCTTTATCTATCTTCTCAATTTACAAAGTTTGTTTAGTGATTGTTCGAAGTTACAAAGGCACTGAAAAAAGTGACCTACGACCATTTTCCCACACAACTGTTGCAGAATCCCCATGGTCACATCATCAAAATTCAGATACTTGGCAACTGACTCATATTTATGACGGTTGCAGTATCCTGGGGTCATGTGATCACCTTTCGCGACCTTCTGATAACCAAAACCAGTCTAATGGGGAAGCCAGATTCATTTAACCATGTTACTAACATAACAATTGCAGTGATTCACAACAGCTATGGAAACTAAGAAAAATTGTAAAATGGAGCAAAACTCACTTAACAATTATCTTACTTAGCAACAGAAATTTTGGCTTCAACTGTGGTCACAAGTTGAGGACTACCTGTATAACAGTATATATCTATATCCATCTATCCATCTATCCGTCCATCGGTCCATCCTGGCATTTTGCAATATAAAACAGAGTAAAAATGTGAAAGCGGATTAAAAATGCGAGCAACAACTAAACCTGAAGTGTAATGGTGACCATTCATTCCTCAGAGGCCTGGCCTCAGCTTTTAATAGTTTTTAGAAAGTCAGCAATGAGGTTTCTAATTTAATCTCAGTGGAATTAGATATTAACCAATAATTTCATACTAACTAATATGGAAGATTTAGTAGACAAAGTGGAACCGCAGCAATTTTTATGGGGAGTGACCATGGAAAGTTGGAATTTTTGATTTATAAGAGAAATTTAAGAGAAATTTTGGGCTCAATTGTGGTCGTAAATTGAGGATTACCCATATCTCATTGAGTGTAGGTTACAGAATAAAGGGCCGGAGTTATAGGGAGTTATAGGATTCCAGTAGGAAATAAAATCTTTATGACGAGAGGAATCCCTACCAAGATAGTAGTGAGCATTGTTTATCTAAATGTGTTTGGGTAGGCTTGACAATGGCTGTGTGTACATGGACTTCATCTAAGCTGCCTGCATTCATAAATGGTCTGTTTCTGTCTACAGCAGGCCTGCACAGCTTAGAAAAAGGATTACATTGATAAAATTAAAAATAATTGCGGGCCACAAAGGAATAGCTGGTGTGCCAGTTAGTTGTTTGGTGGCTGGCAGACTGGCAGCAGCGATGGACCTGGCGTCATCGGTGAGACTCCACAGCAGATCTTCCAGGAGACTGGCAGCTGATTCTTCCTGGCATCAGCAAAGTGTGTAGATATTGAATTAAATTGACTTTTTTTAAAAAAAAAAATGCCAGCAGGCCACATATTACACTGGCCTGATCTACAGTCTCTCTATGAAGCAAGTCCTATGCTTCTTTGCGATTTTTTTTTTTAATTCATTACCCTTTAACCATGAATCTGGGAAATAAAGGATATAATCCTCCTTTTTGAGGTGAAAAGGGGAGATGATACTTAAATGGCTGATAAACTGAATCATGGTCAGGTTATCAGTTCTGAAAGCCATGTGTGATTTTCTTTAGTTGACATTTCCTGGCTCTGGAATCTTAAACAGAGAAACCTCTCCCTTCTTATCTATGTTAGATTTTTTTCATTGAATTTTGCAACTGGGGGTTATTTTTACTGATTTTAGAAGCTAAACAAGGTCAGACTAGGTGGAAAGGGACACTGCAGGGAACTCCCAAGGTTGGCTGTAGGCTAGACTGGACATTTGAAAAAGACAGTGGCAAACCACTTCTACATTTTTGCCTGTAAAAGAAAAGCACTATTGTTTTTTTTAATCTTTCGTGAATTTTTACTTCGTATCAACCAAAGAAGGACATTCACTGCATTCTGGTTTTGTTGCAGGAGATGTCTGTTTAAATCTTGTGGTCAATGAATTGTCATTCAGTGAACAGATTTTGTGTTCATGACTTATGCAGTCTTTTTCAATCCGCCAGTACACCGCTAAAGTAGAAATCATAAATGTGTATATTTTCTGCACAAAATACTCTCCTGTGATTGCCCAGTGCGGTGATTGTAAATGGGAAATGTTTGTTTTTCTTTCCTTCCTCGTCTTAATTCCCTTTTTTTGCTTTACAGGGAAGAACCTCTACACAAATGAATATGTAGCAATCAAGTTGGTAAGCTTATTTTTAGTGCATATTGTTGTCAGGTTTTGAGGCTGGTATTTTTTTTTCTCTCCTAATAAACTAGATCGGTGTTTTTCAACCTTGGCCATTTTAAGATATGTAGACTTCCAACTCCAAGAATTCCCCAACCAGCATGGGAATTCTGGGAGTTGAAGTCCACAAGTCTTAAAGTTGCCAAGGTTGGACACCCCTGATGATCTAGATCCTTCTGTAAGCCAGGCATGCGGCCTGCTATTGGGCTGTGGATCTAAATTGCCTTTCATGTAGTCACAATGTTGATCTCTATCATGCTTAGCATTGTCTGCTTGGATTAGCAGCCAATCTCCAGTGTATCTTTTAGAGCAGTGGCCCCCAACCTTTTTTGTGCCACGGCCCGGTACCGGCATCACAAAATGATCCACGGCCCGGTACCGGCATCAGCACGCATGACAAGGCAAGGCGAGCCGAGCGACCGGACAGCCAGCCGTCCCCCGCTTCTCCCCGCCACCTTCAACTCCTCCTTTGTACCTTTTTTGTGCTTTTTTGATCTCCTCCGCCATCGGGGCGGCTCTTTGTTCGAAGCCCCCCCCCCTTCGATGAAACTAAGGTGCGAGGATTCCTTCAGGACCCAAACACCGCTTTCCAACCAGAAAAGCTCACCCGGAAGCACTTTCTGTCGAAACAAGATGGCGGCGCCCAGCAAACCGGCGGCCCGGTAGAAAATGATCCACGGCCCGGTACCGGTCCGGGGCCCGGTGGTTGGGGACCCCTGTGTTAGAGAAAGGACAGTTTCTCCCCAGAAAGTGAGACACTTTATACAATAATGATCACTTTGATTTAAGTTAGTGTAAAATATTGATTGATGCATGCAAACTTGTCCTTTGAAAAAGAAATAAAATCATCCAGTGACACTTCAAAAAGAAATGAAATCATCTAGTGACACTTAGTGAGAGCAGCAGTAAAAGGTTTAGGGGCCTTGCACTCCATTTGGTTTGATGAAAATCCCACAAACGCTTGGCTCATAACAGTTGGCCTTTCAAATACCACAAGGCTCCAGCTTGTTTTTGCTGAGGCTTACTAATGTGACCGTGCTTCTAAAATTGGTGGTATATTGGTCTATCCCCCCGTAATTACTGGAAAGAGTTCGAACTTGGCTAGTTGTTTGGTTTTGCTATCACGGCCATTCCTAACAATTTATCCCCTATTCTTTCATATAGTCCTCCTGATCGCATTCTTTCCACATCCCCAAATGCTAGCTGGCATTACTGTTTTTGGTTTTTTAGAAAGAATTATGGGAGTTGTGGTTGCTATACAATGGGAGGTTCAGACTAAATAAGATGGGTGGACTTGTAATAACCACCCATCTTCGATGCTGAGTTGGCTTGATGAGCTTGATGAGTTGGTCCTCTCCAATGTGATCACTGACTTAGAGGCAAGTCCCATTCAATCAGGTAGGCCTTAGTTCCCCTCCATTCACAATCACTGCCTCATGTTTGCTGTTTATTTGCAATTATCTCTTGTTTCGTGAAGAAGTATGGCTGTAGGATTTGTAACTTTTCTTTTTTTCTAGGAACCTATCAAATCCAGAGCTCCTCAGCTGCATTTGGAATACCGATTCTATAAACAGCTTGGCAATTCAGGTAAGTAATAACAACTGACTTGTTGAACTGTCCAGAAAAAAGTTTTTTTAAAATTAGTTCAGTTTTCTGAAAAAGTTTTTTTTTTAAAGTTTATTTCAGTCTCCTTGTCCTTTGAGTTCAGAGGAATTGTTGCTTTGTTTTAAAAGTTATAAGAAACTTGAAACACGCTTCCTTAATAAGCCTGGCTGATGTTATTATTAATCTCTTTCCTGTCCCCACTATCCTAATCATTCTAACTTCTGAAGCGCTTTTTTCTCCCTTAGGCTTTGATAGTTTAATAAAACTCTCACCTTAGTAACCATGAATTTTTATTTGTGTATTGATCCTGCTGCTGGTGTTTAAAGATGTGTGTTGCGTTTTTAAAACTTCTGTGGACTCTACTAACGAATTGTGAATAATATTTTTTTTTAAATTTTCATTTGTTTAAAATGCAATTCAAAGGAAAAGCTGGACACATGTTTAGAGAAGAGTTATTAGGACTTTAAATAGGATCTGTGTTGACCTGCAGAATGCTTATATTCAGGGTGCTGCAGATGTTCTTCTAGCCCAGTGTTTCTCAACCATGGCAATTTTAAGTTGTGCCGACTTCAATTCCCAGAGTTCTGAGAGTTGAAGCCCACAAGACGTAAAGTTGCCAAGATTGCCCTCCCGCCCCCGGGGTGTAGAAATAAACTGTAGAGCCGTATTCAACTTGTCCAACCACCCCTCTGAATCCACACCATTTTCTTTTCCACCCTTTGCAGAAGGAATCCCTCAGGTCTACTACTTTGGGCCATGTGGAAAGTACAACGCCATGGTCTTGGAGCTGCTGGGCCCAAGCCTAGAAGACCTCTTTGACTTGTGTGACCGGACATTCACTCTCAAGACCGTTCTTATGATTGCCATCCAACTGGTGAGTGTCCATTCTGTAGAGATCTGCACCCATTGCTACTATCTTCACGCCAACCCTCAAGACTTAGGTCCAATCCAAAATCTCCCCCTCAATTAACGCCTTCCAGCAACCTGGAATTCTCTGAGTTAAGGAGCAGCTGTCAAGGCAGCAGGTTGCTCAATTCTTCCTTCATTACCCTTCTTGATTTATGTGCCCTATATAAAACTCCTTTCCTTCCAATCAGCACAAAAACACAGTGGAAGTGTATTTCCTCTTTAACCTGCAGAGAGCGCCTTTGTTTCCTTATTGAGCTTGCAAAAAGGGTAATTTCAAAAAATTACAGAGTACTAATTTTGGAGGGTTGGCTTACCAACAAACGAACATTATCAGGCTATTAAAAGTTCTAGGCAAAAGAACGTAGGATGTGGGATGTTTTGATCTAGCTTTTACTATAGTCTGATCAGAATTTTCTGTCAACTCTGAAGCTGGCTTGACTGAGGCCATCTTGGAGGCTTCAGTGTTGCCACAATGGTGATAAGGGTTAGGGAGGTGGGGAATAGAGATAGCTGGGGTTTTGTAGCCAAAACAAAATAGTTTCCCGAGAACCAAGGACATTCCCACAGGTGGCTGAAGAGAGGAGGAGTGAAGTTTCCAAGCAACCGGACAGCACCTTGATTGGACCGTATGACTGATTATTTGGGAAAAGGGAAAACTTTTAGTTTTAATTAGGTGAAAACCACAGGAACCTTCAGAGTCAGTTTTCACCAGTCTGTGCCAATATGATATATCCAATAAACTTGTTCTTTGAGGAACCTGCTTGCCTCGGACATCTGTTTGCTACGGGTGTATTACTTGGAACCTTGACATTTCCCTTCCCTGCCTTCTCTTCCGGCCCAGATTACAAGGATGGAGTACGTTCACACGAAAAGCTTGATCTACAGAGATGTAAAGCCAGAAAACTTCCTGGTGGGAAGGCCCGGAAGCAAGCGCCAACACACCATCCACATAATTGACTTTGGCTTGGCCAAGGAGTACATTGACCCAGAGACCAAAAAACATATCCCCTACCGAGAGCACAAGAGTCTGACGGGGACGGCGCGGTACATGAGCATCAATACTCACCTGGGGAAAGGTGAAGAAAGGGGCACTTCCTGGCATGTTTCCAGGAAGGGGGAGAGCGGGGGTGGGGAAATGGGTGTCTGGGGGGAAGGGGAGTTCTCCTAAATCTGATTTTAAGAAAAAAATAAAAAGCTGTTTTCCCACACTGTGTGTGTGTGTGTGTGTGTTTGTTTGTGTGTGTGTGTTTGTGTGTCCCTCTGAGTCACTTTGAACTCTTGGGAACTGTCTGGACCAGCCCTGCTGTTTTCTGGACAATATTTTTGGAGGTAGTTTTCTCTGTGAAACTGATTGCAAGTTGATAAAAAAAAAAAAAATTTGAGGAACTGTTGTGTAGCAAAAAGTGGCTTTGCAGTTGAGCAGGGGTGTCAAACTCAAGGCCTGGGGCCAAATCCGGCCTGCGGGGTTCTTAGATCTGCTCCGCAGGCTGTCTTGGAAACAGCAAAGGACCAGGCTGCAAGATCTCTTGCCAGCGAAAATGGAGCTCGCGAGGACTATGCACGGGCCCTCCCGAGCTCCGTTTTTACTGGCAGAGGGTTGCAGGAGGCCACTGCAGCCTAAAACGGAGCTCGGGAGCCCATTTTCACTGGCAGAGCGCTCGGGCTGCCATAGGCACCCCGCCAACACGAGTGACATCATGCTGGCCACACCCACCCTGGTCATGCCCACCCCAGCCCCCGAGGTCAAAAACCACCCTGATGTGGCCCTCAATGAAATCAAGTTTGACACCCCTGCACTACAGGAAAATCCTTACTTGCACGAGAACTGGAATACGTCTGCCAGTTTTTCACTGCTCCGTTGCTGCTACTGTCCCTGCAGTTTTGCACCTGCTTTGAGGGAACCTCCAATAACAGTTTCAAGGAAATCACAGAGGGTGGTGGTGGTTACGGTTGAAGTGTTCTGCCCAGCATAAGTAGAAATATTTACGACTGGTGCAAAGTCCCTGCTGGATGCAATACAGACTTTACAGGACTCCACAAATTGTTCAGTGAGGTTTAACATTGACATCCTAAATCAAATTCTAAATCAAGTTCTTTATTCATGGTTCATTGAATAACTTATAGTTAGCTAGGGTCACACAGCAAGCAAAAATATAGATAAACCATAATATGCCTCTTGTGTAAACACAGCTTAGGCTATTTGCTGTCATGGCCATGGAACTCCCAGAGGTCAAGGCAGTCTCTCTGAATTGTACATCTAAAGGCTTGCTGAATTGTTGAATAAACCTTATTTGAAATGGTGTGTGTGGGTGAGTTCCCTGAATCGTTTTATCACCTACTGTCAGAAGCAGGTATCTGGATGGATTCTTTCATAGATGACAAAGATACAATGATTGTTTGTACTTTATTTCTTTATCCTGGTGATTATTATGCACAGGGGAGTGAGACAGAATCAAGTCATATGTGGTCTGCTATACTGGATATCTTAGCTGGGTTTACATCATGTTCTCCATTCAGTGCTTTGTTGAGTAAGTCATAAATGACGGGGTTCACCCCATAAAACAAGGGTCTTCAAACTTGGCAAGTTGGAGACTTGTGGACTTCAACTCCCAGAATTCCTGAGCTAACATGACTGGATGAGGAATTCTGGGAGTTGAAGTCCACAAGTCTTAAAGCTGTCAAGTTTGAAGGCCCCTGCCATAGAACAAGCCCTGAACCATGTTTTACAAATTCTGGGTTCATATAGTACACTAAACCGATCAAATCATTTCCCATCTTGCAATGATTTGCAGTATGCAGACCCATTCAGAAGTTGTTTTTTTTTAAAGGAATGTAATTGAAAGAATGTTCTGGATTCATTCAGAGTTGTTTTTTTGTCATTTCTGTGTAGAACAAAGCCGAAGAGATGACCTGGAAGCACTTGGTCACATGTTCATGTACTTCCTCCGGGGAAGTCTGCCATGGCAAGGCCTCAAGGTGAGCCCTATCTCTATGGAAAAATAAGCAAATTTAAATGAACCGAATTTAAGTGTTTGCATATTTTTCGTTTTGCTTCAGTATGTATGGATTTACCCTTTGAATATTGCATTCTTCAGTATGATGGATCATTAGTGCTTGGTTGTTTTCTTGCAGATATTTCATTACCCAACTAAGTAACATTATCAGTGCTAGTAGGGAGTGGGGTTTGCTCTCAATTTATATTCTAGTTCTTCAGTATATTTTCCATCTTACTTGGGTAGCATTTTGTAAGCTAGGAACTTGGACAAATTTATGATTCCCTTTGTAAAGGAGGAGCTGAAGATCTTAGATCTCTACTCCCTTGATTATTTTCTCCTTGTGGTGTAGTTGTGGAACTGGCCCAAGATTTGCTTGTTAGGTGGGTCCACTCGTTTAAGTGAACACCACAATAATTAACTGGGCACAGTTTTGCTGGAAACTGGAAGTAAATTATCATGTTGAGCACCTGAAATGCATTCACATAACCATGCAGGGGGGTGGGGGTTGATGGTCAGACCTGCAAGTCCGCATTGTAAACCTCTTTCTCAGGTGGATCTTCTTCAAATGATCATTAAATGACCAGTTGTCAGTTGAAGACTACCTGAATTACAATTGTCAGGAAGATGTTTCCAATTCTTCTCTCTGTTCCCTGTGCTGGTCCTTCTATACTCCTCTCATATCCCTACTCACAATCACTCATGCCCTGGTCACTTCCTGTCTTGACTATTGCAATGCGCTCTACATGGGGCTGCCCTTGAAGAGCATCCAGAAGCTCCAGTTGGTGCAAAATGCAGTGGTCCACATGGTTTTGTGCCGACCTCAGTATGCGCATGTATCACCTCTTCTGTGGGAGCTGCATTGGTTGCCGATTTGCTTCCGGGTGCAATTCAAGGTGCTGGTTGTCACCTTTAAAGCCCTTCATGGCTTGAGACCAGGTTATCTGAAGGGACTGTCTCTTGCTGGTCACATCTACCCTACTCACCAGAGTGGAGAGGCAAGGGATGTTGTGGGTCCCATCCCCTAGGGACCCACCTGGTGGGACCCAGAAAAAGGGCCTTCTCCATGGTGGCTCCCTCTCTCTCGAACATCATTCCCCCAGAGCAAGGATGGGATCCGACCAGTATAACTACCGGTTCTATTGCTCTGTGTCGCACGCGTGCAATTTATGACCTGCTGAGCTGCCCGGACAGCTGAGCAGCACTGAGTGCGGGTGTGCAGCGGTTGGAAAAGCCCTTTTTTCCTGCTTTTTCAACCTCAGCTATGCCGCGCAAAGCAGCTGCAGTTGAAAAAACAGGAAATAAAGGACAGGTAAGAGCCCAGGGGGGCAGGTGAGCCAAAACAGCAGCAGACACAGAACCGGTTCTTTGTCTGCTGCTCTTCAGAGCTACCGGTTCCGTAGAGCCGGATAGAACCGGTAGAATCCCACCCCTGCCCCAGAGATTAGAATGGCCCCCACTCTAACACTCTTCCGGAAGGCGCTAAGGACCTGGTTCTGCCAGCGAGCCTGGGGAACCCAGAGTGGGATGGAGCCCATTAAATTGGCTTGTGTGATGTGTCGTCACCAGGGCGGGGTGTTTATTATATTATTTTATTAATTTATTATGTGATTGTTCTCTTTTATTAATTTTATTGTTTTATATATGAGGTTTTTATATTCCTGTAAACTGCCTTAAATTGCCATGTGCAAATAGGCAGCAGTATAAATTTCCTAAAATAAAATGAAAAAATTAAAATCTTGTTACATCACATAGCTTTTCTTTGGACAGGACAGACCCCACCCCAAGCTATTGTTTAGAGAGCTTTGTTCACAAATATCTCAATCTTTGGCCTTATTTCTCTCTACAATCCTATTTATTCATTACGCTTCTCTGATGGGTTCTTGTGCTATGGTTCAGGGTTGCAGAGGTCTCCAGTTACCTGGTTTTCAGAGAATCAGCCCTGTGGCTCTGGAATTCCTTCCCTTCTCCTTGGGGAAGTTTAACAGCCTTTAAAAGGGTCCTTAAAGACCTTTTTATCTGGCAAACGAGTTAGTGCTTCGTCAACCCAGCCTTCTATCCTTAGTTGACCGTTCCTAGGTTAAGCCCTGCCTTGTTTGAATGATGAATTTATAGGCGCTTCACTGCAAGGTATTTAAAAACCATGTTTGGATGCTGCCTTTTTGTTTGTCTTGGCTATTAATATCTGTTTACTGGTTTGGTTTCTAAATTGTGAATTAACTAGATGGGATGGGATTTTGTAATTACAGTACAATGTGTTTTTTTTTCCCCGTTCTGTACACACCTCAGTAAAAGCACGTAATTGCAGTGATATTTTTGTTGTTGTTATTAGTCCACCTTGGCAAATAAATACCTGGGGCATGTTTTGTGCAATCCTCGCAATTTATCCGATGTCTCGCGGAGCAGTTGCGTTTTTCTTGGCACCCTTTCCCTATGAAACACCCAGCTTCTACAGCCTGACCTGACACCTCTTGCCTCCTTCTTCCCACCCTGGCTTTCTCTTCTTAGGCGGACACCCTGAAAGAGCGGTACCAGAAGATTGGCGATACCAAGAGAGCCACACCTGTTGAAGTGCTATGTGAAAACTTCCCCGGTAAGGATCACGCATAGAGACAGTACCTGGTTTCATTGCCAGGGAGGGAGATTTAGATCATTGAAAAAAGGAGGAGGCAGTTCCTATCAAAGGAGCATGGTTAGGTTAAGCTCGGTTTGCACTCTATAGGGTTGGCGCTGCTCACCAATCTGCCTGATTATTTGTTTTTATTTATTAAATGTATATGCCGCCCATCTCTTGGATTGCATCTTCTTCTAAAATATTCTGTGCCACTTTTCATTGTCCTGGCTGCAAATTCAAGGAATTAAGCTGGGGGAAAGCAACTTTGTTCCTTTCCGCTCCGCTTGGTTTTTTCTCATCCATGCATAAATAACGGTCAGCAGACTTTTTTTTGCTGCTAAACATACACAGTCCTGTCTGGGCTCTTTCGTTGCATTTCTAAAATGTTTTGCATTACTAAGCACTTGGTGGTTTGTCCTGGTTTGCGTGTGGATGGTGCTATTTTGACTACCTAAGCAATGGAAACATTAGGCTTGATGGATGATTAGAAACTTCCAATACAATCAGGTGTTCTCTAAGGTAGACTTTGCCTTTTTAACAGCTGCATCACACTGCTGGCCTATGTTTAACTGTGCTTGATAAGGCCACCTGGATTCCTTTTACGTGCACTATGGCTAAATCAGATGTCCTCCCATCTTGTACTTAGGCCTTACATTTCTTATGTTATTATCAATTTTAATTGCTGCCCATGATTCAGGCGACTCTTGAGTGGCTTAAGGGTAAAGGTTCCCCTCGCACATACGTGCTAGTCGTTTCCGGCTCTAGAGGGTGGTGCTCATCTCCGTTACAAAGCCGAAGAGCCAGTGCTGTCTCCATGATCATAGGGCCGACATGATGAAATGCCAGAGGTGCACGGAACTCTGTTACTTTCCCACCAAAGTGATCCCTATTTTTCTACTTGCATTTTTTACGTGCTTTTGAACCGCTAGATTGGCAGAAGCTGGGACAAGTAACGGGAGCTCACTCTGTTACGCGATGCTAGGGATTGCAACCGCTGAACTGCTGACCTTCTGATCGACAAGCTCAGCGTCTTAGCCACTGTGTCCCCTGAGTGGCTTACATCAAGATAAGACAAAATAGAACTGCAATTATAAATATAGAAACAGATTAAAATTCAAAAATTAAAACAAGGGTTTGGAGGGGAGAGGTGGGGGGTACCTTCTCTGTTAGTATACCAACCACCACTAACCAGCAGCTTCTCCTTCAGGGCCCTATGGCAGATTGTAAGATCTTTCCTGAAAGCTAAAGGGGGGGTGGGGGCAAAATGTTCCAAAGGCCAGGATTCATGGCAGAAAAGGCTCTTCTTCTGGATCCCACCTGCTGAAATTCCTTAGCTGATAGGATTCACAGTAGGCCCCTTCTGCCATCATGAATGGGGTGGGCCGATCCCACTGGGGAAAGACAGTTCTGCTGATACCCTAGACCAGGAGTCAGCAACCTGTGGCTCTGGAGCCGCACGTGGCTCTTTCATCTGTCTGCTGCTGCTCCCTGTTGCCAGTCGGCTCCACAATTGATAGGGCTTTTGGTTAGGACAGGTAAAGGAAAAAGGACGCAGTGCTAGGAGGAGACTCTATGGTTGCGGGAACTGCCACAGAGTCTGGTCGGCTCCAGAATTGAAAGGGGGGGGCTTCTGGTTGGGACCTTTGTAGCTCTTTGAGTGTTTAAGGTTGCCGACCCCTGCCCTAGACTCAAGCTATAAAGGGCTTTAAAGGTAGTAACCAATATTTTGAAGCACAACGGCAGCCAGTGCAGCTCGCGTAACATAACCATTTTTCCTACCCACGTGCAGAACTTTAGATTTCCTCTTGTTAAATTCTGTTTATTCATTTTGAGCCACTGATTGGGCCTGTCTAGGTCAGAGTTCTCCAACCTTGGCAATTGGAGAACCCTGGTCTAGGTTATATTGAATCTTCCACTTTTGTGTATTCTGCAAACTTTATAAGTGCCCCCCCCCCCCAATTCCATTGATAAAAATGGTGAATGGCACTGGACCAAGACAGAGAGGCCTAAGAAATGCCACTCAATGTTTCCCTCAACTGTGAGCCCATCTAAACAGTGGTACTTTCTAGCTCATATTTCACAAAATTATGTGTGAAGAAAACTATTCTGAAACATTCTGTCAGAGTCTTTGCTGATGTTCACTATGTCTGTGGCAATTCCCTTCATCTATTAAACTAAGAATTCTGTGAACAAAGTCAATAAGGTAACGTGACAGATTTGTTTGTGAAAAAGTCCAGGTTGGTTCCTGTTAAACTGTAGCATGACTATGCAGGTACTCCCAGTGTACTGTTTGACAATTTATTCGAAGCTCTTTCCCACAATAGATACCAAGCTGCCAGTTCTGTAATTTCTTCCTTTCCCTTTTTTAAAGATGGAGATGATTTTGCCTCTCCTCCAATCTTATGAGGCCTCATCAAATCTTCTGGGAATTCTGTGATCATGTCCACTAGATTTGAATTCTTGTCCCTTCCTTGCCTGTCCTAAGCTACAGTTCCTTATTTCTCTCCCAGTGAGAGCCATGGTTAGCTAGGGATCCATTTATCTTCTGGAGAAAGACAATAGCAAAATAGGAGGTAAGAAATTCTGCCTTTTAAAAAAAAGCCATACACAATCAGGAACCACATAAATACTACACACAGAACAGCCCAAAGCACACATTGTGATGAGAGAGAAGTTCCCTGAGGATGACTCCAGCACAAGTCTGAAAGCTCGAAACATTAAAACTCTGGTCCTGGTGACCGACCCAAGTTTGATCCTGCAATATTATCTCGGGATACATGTATTTGCCTTCATTTGTGAAATCCTGCCTTCTCACCAAAGCACAACATCACTTCATCACTTTTTCCTCACAACAGACTTTTACTCTTTTTGGGCCTCCATTTTTTAATAACATATTCCAAGGCATTTGGGGTGTTTTTGGTATCTTGCAACACTCAGCTCATTTTTAGCTTCTCTTTGTACTGTTTTAATTGTTTTCACTTTTTATTTCTTATGTCCTTTTTTTTCCTCTTCAGCATTTTAGAGAACTCTGCATCTTGTCCATTCATCTTGTCTTTCTTTGTATGTATGTGATAACACATTCAGCATCTCATTTCATAGCCAAGAAAATAAACAAATGGATCATCAATCTAGAGTTCTCAATCGCACAAATGATCAGTCTCCAATTATCATTTTGGACACATTATACAAAGGCCTAATTCCCTGGAGATAGTTGGGAAGAAAGGGAAGAGGATGGGAAGCAACAAGATGGATGTCTCAATTATAGCAGTGATGGATGCACTGTTGGAAGATCTGGAAGACCAAAGTTGGAGACATGCCCTCCTGGGTAAAATCTTTTCACTCAGTGTCAACACCATCAAATCATTTCGTTTAATAGATAGTTTTTTTCTTGTCTTTTGTTCTTCTTGGACACTTTCTTCCTTCAGGATTTATAGTCTTTGGATCTGACCCACTTTTCCTTGAAGTTATCACTTCAGCTCTTCTGAAGCCTGACAGGTTTGACTCTGCTCAGTTCCTCCTGCAGATATTAAAAAAATCAAGGATAACATGATCCCTTCCCCAAGGTAGCAATCACTTTAAATTCTTCAACTAATTCCTTTTTGTTGATGAGGATTAGATCCAGGATTAGATGAGAATTAAGTCTGCCTTGTTTTTCCTGGCGATAAGAGAGGGCAGGACTTTGTGAGACCTCTTGACTCTTGGCAAAGTTAGATTCCCAGAAGAATGATCACAATTGCATGTTTTTTTTGAAAAATATTGATGCAGAAAGATCTCATCCGTATCTTTCTGCCTGTCCAAGCGGTCTATAATAAATTATTGCAGTGATTCCAAGACTTTATATCTTGCTCCTTTTACAGTATTCTAATCGAGATACTTTTTAACAGGATTTCCATTCTCTGATTCCTGTATAACACTCTCACCCTTTTTTTCCCCCTTGGGTCTGCTCCTTTTGAATAAATGGTGGCTTTCATCCCACCAAGTTTTAGTAATACATGCATCTGTGATGACCCAGGGCATGGCACAAAGACAACACTGTCAGATAATCAGTCGGAGTCCCTTTATTAGCTCCAACTTTGCCCCCAATGTCCTGGTTACCTTTTGGCTGGAGAAAAACTCTCCCAGGAACAGCCTTTGGCTGCAGAGAATCAAGTCCAAAACGTGGTCAACAAAAACTGTAATTATAAGTCCAATCAAGGCAAAATGAGGTAATTAGTCTGGCAGGGCAGGAGCAAGAATTCCAGACGTGAAGGCACGGCAATTCTCAACACGGTTGGGAAGATGCCAAAAACACAGATAACCAAAGTCAACACAAGATAAACTCACATTTGCTCCCAGCAGATGCTGCACTCAGCTTGCATCCCTTTTAAACTCTCATTCCCAGGTGTGGCTAATGAAGGGAATCAGGGCCCTTTCCTCTCCCATAAGCCACACAATCCACGTTGCTCTCTTCTCCGTTCCTCCCTGCATGCCCTAGGATGAAGAGGGGGTGGGTCTGGGTCTTCCTCTGGACTCCCTCTCCCTTGTTCTACTTCTCCCCTGCTCTGCCCAGCCGGACTTTGCCCTTCCCCAGTTTCCTCCACAGCCAATGGAGCCACACTCCCACTCCCTGTCAGCTGTTCGTCTTCCGCCTCAGATTCAGACTCCGACGGGCATGACAGCACCATTGTACTTGACTTCCTAAGTCCACATCTCTGCTTCTCCATATTGTCTCTCCCAAATACTGTACAAGTACAGTAGAAGCACCTGAAGTTTGGGTACCACCCGCTGGCATCTCTATTGCAAAGTACCACAAAACTGAGTCCCCATCCTCACTTCATGGTCTTCCAGCTTTCTTGGGCCCCAGTTCATGATTGCATATTTCTCAGTTTTGCCCCTCTCCCTCTTTTGTTCTAGTTGAATGCCCTCCTGGTGAAATTGGTAAAGCTCCTTGCCCAAATCTCCTTCCCTGTTTTGTAAGAGGTATCGCGTCTTTTCTGGGGAAAGGATAGAATACAGGTAGTCCTTGAGTTACAACTATTTGTTTAATAGGTGAAGTTACGATGGCAGTGAAAAAAGTGTTTTGTGACCGTTTTTCACACTTACGACTGTTGGCAATATATACCCACGGTCAGATGATCGAAATTTTGACGCTCAGCAACCGACGGTTGCACCGACTCAGGGTCATATGATCACCTTTTGTGACCTTCCAGTGGGCAAAATCAATCAGCAAACCAGGTTCCCTTAACAACCATGCTACTAACTTTAACAACTGCAGGGCTTTACTTAAGAACTGTGGCAAGAAAGGTCGTAAAATGGAGCAAAACTTAACAATCTTGCTTATCGACAAAGCTGGAGCTTAATTGTGGTCATAAGTTGAGGACCATATGTGGTAGACCATTTTGGTAGAATCCAAACCATTCTCAGCAGCATCATTTGCACTGATTTCCACAATGAAGAAACATAATTTTAGATCCTATCTCTCTCTCCATAACTGCCGCCATCTTTATTTTGTGGAGCTTCACACCTGCATTTTTTCCTCCTCCTTTTGAGTTTTAAACAGCAGATGTGCCTTTTTCTTTTGCAGAGGAGATGGCCACATATCTCCGCTACGTGCGACGTCTGGACTTCTTTGAAAAGCCAGATTATGACTATCTACGGAAACTTTTCACTGACCTGTTTGACCGGAATGGCTACGTCTTTGATTATGAATATGACTGGGCTGGGAAACCTTTAGTAAGTAACAGCCAGGAGGTTTCTGGATAGAGAAGGATAAAACTAGTATAACACAATACACACACAAACATACACACATAGCCTTTTTGTTCAGTGGAGAAAGTGAACAGAGATGCTATGACGGGGTCCCCAACCTCTGGGCCATGGGCCACTCCCGGGGGTTGAGCCATTGGGAACCGGACTTGAAAGTGCTAGTTGAGCACACGTGCACACATCCCCACTTGTGCAAGCAGTGGCAAGTTTGGGTGTGCTCCAGTTGCATGAGTGGGGTGTGTGTGTGTGTGTGTGTCCGCAGCTCGCACAAATGGCGTGTGTGCTCTTTCCCTCCACTCACGCAGAACGATGCCCACCCCCCAGTCCACAAAGCCAGAAAGGTTGGGGAATTCTGTGACGTTTATAAGCATAAAAAAAATTCCATCACGCAAATATTGTCAAGAAAGGTGGCAAATATTACGTGGATTGTTATAACCCTCCTTAAGAGCCATATAATCTGGAAAGTAAGTATAGCTTCTTAATGGTCAAGGTTGCTCTTTTCCTGAAAAAATGTACGAAAATGTTTCTTACATTTCTCTTGCAATGTCTCAGTTATGAGTAGCCATGCAGATTGTTCTCAATTTATGATCATAACGGAGCCTGTCCATCATGGTCATAAGTTTGGGACAGTTGTAAAATGCGTCGGACATGTGGCAGTCATTAAGTGAATGCCACGGTTTTACATTTTATTTTGTTTCATTAAATTTATACGCAGCCCATCTCAATGTCAAGAGACTCCTGGGTACTTGTTGAATTAGTGCCATGGTCATTAGGTGGTTTGCCGTGGGTGCGTTTTGCTGAAAACAAAGTAAATGCTGGATTTGGGCAAAACTATTGCAAAATGCAGCCACGTGACTTTGGGATGCTGCAGATGGCCAGAGATGGCAGCTGTGTTGCCGGGCGTTCGAAGTTCAGTCAGGTGACCGCTGGACAGATCAACTGCAGAAATTTCAAATCCAGATTGTAAGTAGCCCCAAGTCAGGTCTGTGGTAACTTTGAATGGTCGCTAAGCAACTAGTTGTAAGTCAAGGACCACCTGTACACTGTCCACTCTCAGAGGAAACAAGCAAATATTGGGTCTGCTATTCTGTATTAACAAGTAGTCCTTGTCTTACAACCACAATGGATCCCAAAATTTCTGTTGCTAAGCCATTTGTTAAGTGAGTTTTGCCCCATTTTACGACCATTCTTGCCATGGTTCATAAGTGAATCACTCCAGCTGTTAAGTGAATTGTTCAGTCTTCAAACATTATCTGGCTTCCCCCATTGATTGTCAGAAGCCGGCTGAGAAGGTTACAAATAGCGATCGTACCGACCCCCAAGACAGTGCAACTGTGATAAATACATGCCAGTTTCCAAGTGTCCAAATTTTGATCACGTGACCCTGGGGATGCTGCAACAGTCGTAAATGTGAACAATTTTCATAAGTCATTCTTTTCAGTGCTGTAGTAACTTCAAATGGTCACTAAATTAATCGTTGTAATTTGAGGACTACCTGTATTGGAATGTTTGTTTCTTTTAGCTGCCTTGGACATTTGATGGTAGAAAAACCTGATTATTCCAAGGCATTTGATTCTCTTTCCAGGCAGAGAAAGGCATTTGTTCTCCTAGAAGACCCTTAAGCCCAGTTGTCTGAATTGGTGGAGATCATTTTTGAAAACTCTTGAATGTTTTTTGCCTGTTTCTTCCTCCTTTCTGCAGCCAACACCTATTGGCACAATCCAGAGTGACGTACAAGTCCAGCCTCCAAACAGGGAGAAAGCACAGCAGTACATCAAACAGCAGGTAACTAAGTGTTTGATTTATTGATCTATTTATCTCTGTCCTGGGGTTGGAATGTGAGTAGGCGAGTAGCTAAATGAGAGTCAGATCACAGCTTTAATTTGTGCAGCAAAAGTATAAGGCAGGGTTCCCAATCTTGGCAACTTTAAGGTGTTGGCTGGGGAATTCTGGGAGTTGAAGTCCACACATCTTAAAGTTGCCTTAAAGATTGGGAAGCTCTGGTATAAGGTACTTTGACAAGGGAGGCACAACCTGGAAATGGAGGCTTGGTGCCACCTGGTGGATAGAGCTAGAGATATCTTTGTCTCCTGGAAGTGTGGCTAAAACATGGCTTGATGTGAAAACACCTGTTCTTGATCCAGACTAATGGTTCTTCATACTGATAATAGTTGGGTTAGGTGATCCAGTTCTCTCCTTAGGTTTTGCACTTCAGCTTCCACGAGGTAACCAGTTTGGTGTGGTTTGTTAAAGCACCAGGTTAGAAACCGGAAGATTATGAGTTCAAATCCAACTGTAGCCGTGAAAGCCAGCTGGGTCAGTCACTGTCTCTCAGCCCAACTCACCTCACAGGGTGGCTGTTGTGGGGAAAATAGGAGGAAGAAGGAGCAACTTGATAGGTTTGACCCAGTGGTGGGGTTCTACCGGTTTGACCGAGCCGGTAGCAGCGATGATCAGCGGAGACCAAACCGGTTCTCTTCACTGCTCTGCTGTTGGGCCCACACGCCCACCTGGGCTCCCATACTCACCTTTATCCTCTGAATTTGAAGCGCAGCTGCTTTGTGCGGCACAGAAGAGTGCTGCGCGGCAGCTGCGGAAGCGACCGGGAGAGTGCAGGCTTGCAGGAGGCGAATTACAACACCTCTAAGCCTGCGCAAACGCCTCTGTGCCTGCGCAAACTGCATGTTTGGTGCACGCGCACGTGCAAAGTGTGTGCACATGCGCAAAGTGCGCCCACCAAGCCACGGCCACTGAATCGGTGGTAAAAATATTTGAATCCCACCACTGGTTTGCCCTCTTGTTTCTCAAAATGGTCCTTTATGAAAAATAATAAAGGCGGGATATAATAAACAAATGAGTTCTAACTAGCATGACCAGCAGAAAGATATCACGGGGGCTGTACATCAAAACGTTTGCAGGGCTCTCCTTAACTCTCACTGCACAGCAGGGTCATTTCCTACCCTGCCACCTTTAATTGGAGATGCCAAGAGCAGAACCCAGGGCTTTCTGCATAAAAGGCAGATGCTGTACCTTTTTGGTACGAACCTCCATTCTGCTGCCTTTCTCTCTTGATCTAACTGTCTAGGTTGACTGGTAAATCACAGTAATGGTGTCTGAGCCATTTTCCATTTTGGAAATGTGGAGTCCCCGTTCCCCCCACCCTCAATTCTTCTGGTTTTGAGTGATGGCTCCTGTGCTAGGAAAACATTAGCAAGACTTGATTATGTCAAAATCCCTTCACCATTGGCCAAGCAAATGGTGGTGTGTTAATGGTTTGTTCGTTACAAGTTCCAGCATTTGGAAAACTTCTATGACTTCCAAGGTGCAATAATGAATTCTATAATGAAGATCCTTGCTTGGTTTTTATTTTTCCAGCCACTCTATATCACCAACTCTTTTTCTTGGAGGACTTGCTGGGCTGGGCTTCAGCATGGCCTCAGAATTAGCACAGCATGGCTAATAGGCAGAATATAATTTAACCCACAATTAACCATGCTGTTTTGAACTAAAACTGCCACTTTCTCATCTCAGTGTGGAGTGGGTTCTTGATTATCTGTTTCATTGTGTTGTATAGACTTCAGCTCCCAAAGTTCAGGGATTTGAGGTTGAAAAACACGGGGTTATATTAACATATAATAAAACCACAGCAGGTCTTTTGGCCATGAATGGAATTGAAATGAACTGTAGAGTGCAGTTAAAATGTTTCACAATTTAAGCTAGCTAATTATGGCAGCCCTATGCCATCAAGACCAAATGCTCTGCAGAATACAGAAAGTATTAAGATTTTTCTAACATGCAGGATTGGAGCCATTCCGTATCTCAAAAGGAAGATGTTTTGGAGGGGGTGGCAGGCACTGAAAAGAGGCCAGGCTCCCATTCCACCATTTCCTGTGGAATGGAAATCTTCCATATTTCTTCCCTTAAACCCTCAGGGGCTACAACAGAGTTTCTCAACCTTGGCAGCTTGAAGAGGTCTGGGCTTCAATCCCCAGAATTCCCCAGCCAGCTATAGAATCATAAGCATAGATGCTCTTAGAGCATAGTTGCTCTAAGCATAGCTTAGCAACTGCTTCACTTAATAACTGAGTTGGTGGTCCCAATTGGGGTCACTAAACAAGGACTACCTGTATGTACATCAGGATAAACTTTCCTGTAGGTGCTTGGATGCCAAGCCATATATACAGCTTTAAACGTTTTAATCACTCTTACTTTGTGTTGGACTCAAAGCAAAGTAGGAGCCATTTGCAGCTCACTTGTCTTAAAGTAGGGGTCAGCATGGAATCTGCAAGGGTAAATCTTGGCTCACCAGCCATTTTGAGTTTTTCACAGTGTCTGTTGGTAAGTTGAGGAGATGACCCCGGCCATGTTTTATATTTGGATTTCCAAAAATCTTTTGACCAAGTTTCTCATCAATGGTTCTTTAGTAAATTTTAATTATTGTGGAACAGTAATCCAAAAACAGAACATATGGTACTTTTTCTTTAAAGGTGGAGTATAAGAAAAGTCTGCTGGAACTAGCTTTTAAAACTTATTCATAAATGATTGTGATGTAGGAATAAACAGTGTGCTGATCAGGTTTGCAGGTGTAGCAAACTATTCAGTCTGGTAAACACTTTCATTTTGAATTCCAGACAGATCATTCTGAATTGGGTGGATGGTCAAACAGTGGTTTAATTTAAGGAAATGTAAAATGAGCACATAGGGATTTTTTTAAAAAAAAACAACAAGTTCATGAAGGTAATGATAAGAGGTTGAGCTATTGTAAGTAACCAAGAAAAAAATATTGGATTGTAAAAGGAGGGTTAAATTAAGGTGTCAACTCAGCGTGTAGTAACTATGAAAAAGGTAAATTCAGTACTATCTATTATTAGGAAAACACAGCTTGGTAACAGATAGTCTTTGACTTACAACCATTTGTTTAGTGACTGTTTGAAGATAGAACTGCACTGAAAAAAATGCAAACAAGTCATAAAATCAAACATGACTCTTAACAACTGCTTTACTTAGCCATGGAAATTCTGGTGCTAATGGTGGTTGTAAGTCAAGGACCTACCTGTAAATCTATGGTTCATCTACATTTGGTATCATGTGTAGAGTTCTGGTCACCATAAGAGATAAAATGGCATGGGACAAAGTGCAGAAGTAGCAACCAAAATGATTGAGGGACTTCACTTCTTTTATGAGAAAAGCCAAGATACTTGGGATCCTTTCATTTAGCAAAAAAAAAGGATAGAGATGTCTAAAATCATGCATGGCCTAAAACAAGGATATCCAAACTTGTAAACTTTAAGCCTTTTGGACTTCAACTGTCAGAATGCCCCAGCCAGCATGTCTGTCTGGGGAATTCTTGGAGTTGAAGTCCACAGATCTTAAAGTTACCAAGTTTGGACACTCCTGGCCTAAAGAAAGAGAAACTTCTCTCATTATCAAAAACATTAGGAACAGGGACAACTCAATAAAGTGTTTGGAAAGGAGGCACTTCCTTACATTGTCACTAACATAAATTCATTATCATAAAACATGGTGGTGGCTATTAACGGGTGACTTTATTACTTATTTTTATTTATTAAATTTATTAGCTGCCCATCTTACCACAGGGTAACTGGGCAGCATACAATATTAAAAAAGTAAAGTTACACAAAACCTATACACTAGGGCTGTCAAACTCACGGGCCGCATGTGTCATGCGCTGGCCACGTCCACGCCCTGTTTAACAAAGGGGGTGGGTCCCGATACATCACATGATGCCGCCATGACGATGTGAGTTGGACACCCCTGCTATACGCAATGCAAACAAAACATAATAACAATATAACTGTTCTACCCTAATTAAAAGTAGGGGAGGGAGTAGGATGAGCAAGTGGGGTGTTGGGATCCGTTATTTATTTATGAATCACCCCCAATGTGAAGCCCCAACCAACCAGAGCCAGGGGTCTCCAACCTTGGCAACTGGCTGAGGAACTCTGGGAGTTGAAGTCCACGAGTCTTAAAGTTGCCAAAGTTGGAGACCCCTGCTTGAAACTCTGATGGAAGTTCTGGAGGATTGGATCCCACCTCACTCTGTGAGGCCAGGTGTTCCAAAGGGCAGGCTCAGTGGCAGAGGAAGCTCTTTCCCTGGACCCTACCTGCCTGAAAACCATGGCTGGTGACCTTAGAAGGGAATTGGGTGAATTCATTGTCTATCAAGGACTGTTGGACCTGGAGGCTCCAGGTTGCATCTGGTCTGGAGGCTGCATACCTTCAAATCCCAGGTAGAGGACAGCAGTGTTAGAGTAGCAGGTCTCGGCCGCCTTTTTGTAGGTGCTGCAGATCCATCCGGTTGCCTTTCGTGGTGAACAAAACGCTGAGCTAAAGGTGAGCCTTGATCTGACTCAGCAGGCAGGCTGTTCTGTCCTGAAAAAAGGGGTTTCTTCTTTTAGAACAAAGATCTGAAACAAATATATTTTTTTAAAAACCCTAAGGATTTGGGATAAGAAGATTTAACAACAACAGGTGTTGTGTAAGCACTGAGATTGTTTTCCATTTTCCATTTTGCGTATCCCTCCCTATGCCTGCCTCATGGAGAAAAACATAGGTAGAAAAGAAAGGTGGTGGCTAATCCTCTCTCCCTGGTGACAGGGGTTCCAATCCTGATGGGAACACCCTGGATTTTAAAGGGTGTGTCTGTGTGTTGCTGAATGGCCTCCTCAACTATACAGCAGCAAAGGGGCAGGGTGGCTTCTTGTTTGCTATGGTTGTGCACTGATGCCACACTGAAGAAATCTATTCTTCCCCCCAAACCCGGGTAGCAGTTGACCTAGGCTGTGCAAAGGCAGCCATTGTGAAACAAAGTATGGGAAGGAGGGAAGGAAGGATGGAAAATAGTCCTGTAATGTTTCTGGACATTGAATATTTATGCAAATACATTGAGGAACCACAGTTTTGAGGAGTCAAACATGACAACTAGCAAACCCAAGAGGTTCCGAAGGGTGTAGGGAACATGGTCGGCCCTCCCGAAATGGACTAGGCCCATTTCTCTACCTCAGAGGTCTCCAAACTTGGCAACTTTAAGACTTGTGGACTTCAACTCCCAGAATTCCTCCTCCAGTCATGTTAGCTCAGGAATTCTGGGAGCTGAAGTCCACAAGTCTCAAAGTTGTCAAGTTTGGAAGACCCCTGCTCTACCTGGTAATGCTGATGACATTTGAAGGATGCTGTATTGATTTGCTTTCTAGCCTGTTTCAAATTCTTTTTGCTTTTGCATGTTGTTGTCCCCGCCCCCCCCTTTCTTCACCTGTGTTCCCCTTTCCTTTGAAAATCCCCCATCTTTTCTGTCTTCCTAACCCCTCTCCCTGTTTAAAAAAAAAATTATTCCTATGATTTTCCCCCTTTGCTTCCTGCCTCCATCATTAGCAGTCACCTGAGGGGACGGAATTATGGGATCCCCAGGCTGGCCAGCAGCCTGCTGAGGACACTCTAGGAGCCCCCTTGGCAGCCAGCAGGCTTGGGGGTTCCGTTCAGGTACATGTCACAGAAGTCTTCTGAGCTTTCCCCCCCCTTGACCCTCTGTATGTCCAGTCATTGTGGCGCCGATTTGCTTTTCAGTCCTGTTTTGACGGCACATGGACCAATTCAGAAATCCTGAAATGCAGTTTGTTCTGCTGCCTTGAAATAGATAGTTTTCCTTTCTCCTCATTCTGCTTGGCTCCCAAAAATTGTCTGAAGAAGAGTAAAGAAAATTCCTTTCTTCATAATGATTCTTGTAAGAAATCCGGTTTGTTTGGCCTCAGGAGGTGAACTTGGCATTCTCAATGATATGAAAAAAATAGGGAGGAGAAGGAAAGGGGTTGGAAGGGAGAAGAAGCTAAACAACTTGGAAGTTTAAATAGATAAACATATTTGCAAGCTTAAGAAGAAACTGTTAAAACCATACTCGGTAGGTCGAATTTCTGCAAAAGGCACTTGTAGAAATTAAAGAGAATCTACTAGCAAAATCTTGTGAATGTAGGTAAGAATAGAAACCATGCTTAAAGCTGAGGTGTGTTCCTGTGTTCTTGCCGTGTGATTGCGTATGTGTGCGTGCACCATTTCAATGCAAGAGCGGATTCTAGTTCAACCATAAGAATATCTAGAAAAAAAATGTATACACGTTTATTCAGTTTATTTAGCGTATGGCACCTGTTAGCCAGGGATTACCGAGGTGGCTGGCTGCCTCTGTAAAAGGATTTTTTTTGGGCAGTGTTATCTCTACCTGCGGGATGCCTGAATGCCGGTAGGCAGTTGGGGAAGGCTCCTTTCTTGTCCCTCTGCGGTTTATTCGATCATGGGAATCGAGCCACCGAGCTGCCGACTTCAGCGGTGTGCAGGCCCAGTGTCTTATCACGTGAGCCACCGTGGCCCCCATTGTATACACGTATATGTACAGTTTGCATTCCTCCGTGTTCTTCTGCTCTGCCTGTCATTGGTATGTAAGTCTCATCTGCTTTTGGAAATGCAAAAAATGCTCACCAGGACAAGGAAGGAAACCCAAATTCCTGGATTTGCAGATGTTCATCACATTCTATTGGGTTTCATTTGGTTTTTGTTGAGCCAGAAATCTTCACAGACGCCCATGCTAAGAGGGTAGACTTTTACAACCTGGAAATCTCATCTGGCTACTGAATTAAATATTAGTTTTAATCTTAATTTTCACCTTAATGTCTAAAGTTGATTCATAGCAAGGTCTATTGTGTGCTTTTTGTATCTCTTTGGTAAAGCTTTTTGGCGAACAATGCCAGCATTTAAATTTGGGGGTAACAGGGAAAAGAACAGTGGCCAACATGCTGGGTGTAGCTATCCTCCTTCACGTTCAGGTGCTCTGTCCAGTTTATAAACTTACTTGCAGAGCTGTTCTACATCCATGAGGACTAGACACATTAAAATAATAATAATTATAATTATACAATAGTAATAATGTAAAGATGACAGAATCAAAATAGTTGATGTAAGATTAGCAACCATCTTTTACAACGGATGAATTTTAAATGGTGGGATTCTCAAATGGGCAGCCTTTGTATGATAGGAAATTTAGCATCACAGTGAACATCTGTGCTGGTTTTCTAGCTCTCATGGCCAAATAAAGTGCCACTCTGTGGACAGAAGCTTCTGTGTTTTCTGTGTCTTTGTCCATGGTTGCCTCTTCCATCTATGCCCCTTCCCAAGCTCCTGTGTGCATTGCTTTCCCATCTGATGCACATCTTTGACTAGCACCAACCGTTGCTTAAGGCAAGAGTCTAAACCCTCATCATGTCAGGGTTCCAGCGATTGCCCGAATTAAATTATGAGCCTCGAGCCAAGCTTCAAAAAAAACTCAAAAGATTTATTAGGAGCAACATGCTGGCATTAACCTAAATGAAACCAACTCTGGCATACGTAATTCACAGTCACCTGTGATCCTGTTTTCCCCCCCTCCCCCGAGTGTATCATAAATCAGATTCTTCAATGAAGCACATTCATGGGCCGGGTGTCATGAATCACATTCTCCAACGAAGGGTTTTCGGGGGCAGAAGATCCAGTAGCCTAGTTACAATCTTTTAAAGATAAGGGTGGAATGTACTTCTGGTTTTAAACTGCCCCTTCAGATTCCCCAGCCCCTTGTCTATGGCGACTTGAAAACAGGCATAGGAATGTTTTATCAGTTGACACATAAGACAGCAACTGAAACCATACATTAAACTGGGCCTGCAACCCCAGTAGTAGATGTAACTAGTTTGCACTGGTACAGCTGTTAAGTAAAAACTTGGTTTGGGCCAGGGAGGAAGGGAGCAAATTTGTTCAGGAAAGAACTATTATTTCTGAATCTCCTGAATAGGAAATGACATTGTGCCGGAAACCATTTAGCCCACATAAACAGGGAGATCCAAGGAGATAGTCCTTGACTTAGGACTGTAATTGAGCCTGGCAATTACAGTTGTAAGTCATGATGGTTGTAGAGTGGGCCATTACATGGCTGACTTGATTTTTACATCCCTTTTTTGCAGTGGTCATTAAGTGAACCCTATGATTGTTAAGCAAACTTATTGTTCTCTATAGGCCAATAGCTGGAAGTAAACGCTGGTGTCCAACGAAAATGTTATAAATCAGGGGTCTCCAACCTTGGCAAGACTTTAAGACTTGTGCTGGCTGAGGAATTCTGGGAGTTGAAGTCCACAAGTCTTAAAGTTGCCAAGATTGGAGACCCCTGTCATGAATCAGGGTTACACAAACGGGCGTAAATGCAGGCCAGTTACCCAGCGTCCAAATGCAGTCACATGACTATGGGGAGAGGCTGTCCATCATAACTTCAGAATGGGTCATAATTAGCTTTTTGGGGGGGTTTGTCATAACTTCAAGCAGCCGCTAAATGACTAATCATAAGTAGAGGACTACCTGTATTTATTTTCATTTGTAGGCAGGTCTCTGTTGGATGGAATTTCACATGGCACCTGAAAGTTAGCCCCCTTTGCTTTGAATGCTTGGCTGGATGCAAGCTTTCTTCCTGTGGCTGCTTTTTGCAGGAGCAGAGAGAGGATTAAGAAGCAGAGTGAAGTTTTGATTGGTACCTTAAGTAGCATGAGGCCAGCGTGCCTGAGGCCTGCTTTGTCTCTCCCGTTCATTTCCCCCTTTGTCACGCTGCAAAGACGCTAAGCCACCTCTACCTGAAGCCCTGCCCCATCTTCTTGGCTCTTCACCTGCTTGCTCTCTTTTAGGTCATGAGTTCTACCAATGGGGAGTTGAACACGGATGACCCCACTGCCGGCCACTCAAACGCCCCCATCACCGCACCTGCCGAGGTTGAGGTGGTAGACGACACAAAGTGAGTAACTGGTTCACCTGGCTGAGTTCTGCTAGGAGCCTCTGTGGCTCGGATTAAACACTGTAAAATGGAAGATGATGGAGAGGAAAGTGTGTCAGCTCTGCCTTGGAATTATGACAGCCAGCTAGAAGCCATCATGGCTCTGTTATGACCGATGTGGCAGGTTCATGAGCAGAAAACATGGTGAAGTTTTGAAGCTTATACAAGGCAAATGTCCTGCTCCATCCAACCAGCTTCACCTCTCCTGTCTGCCAGCAGGGAACAGCTTTTCCATCACTTACTACCTGAAATATTTTGACCTAAAATCACTCAGGAAGCCACATTCTCAGTTATCTGTCAAAAGGTCACTTTCTCAATGGTCATAAGGCTGTCTTAATAAGCATCGATTGATAACTTGGTTGCAAACTAAGTTAATCGCCCCAGTCAATTAGCTCACAAGATGTTGGCTTGGACCCCAGTCTGATTTGGGGCTAATTTCCCCATGCCAACTAACCTTTTTGTTCTGTGAGTTACTGACTTGAGGGTTATCAGGACTTCCTATGTCCGATAGAGCCGAAGCCCATGAAAAATAGATTTTCTCTGGCTGTCTCTATACCTTGGATTTTCTGTCTCCGCACACCTAGAATGTCAGACTGTCAGGGAGACAGTGTAGCCTAGTGATTAAGGCACCAAGCTAGAAACCAAGAGTCTGAGTTCTAGTGTCACCTTAGGCATGAAAGCTGGCTGGTGAGTTGGGGGTCAATCACCACAAGATTGTGAATTCTTGTCCTACGTTAGGTATGAAAGCCAGCTGGGTGACTTCGGGCCACTCACTCTGCTTCAGTGCAACCCACCTCACAGGGTTGTTGTGTGTGGTAAATAGGAGGAAGGAATGTTAGGTAATGTTCACCACCTTATAAAGTATAAAAGCCTTATAAACTTCCAATAAATTATCACTTTCAACTTAACACTTTACAAACTGCAAATGCCACCTCCTTTCATTTAAATAATAATGCAAAGTAATATAACAAGGATATCCTTTCTCCCTAGGTGCTGCTGTTTCTTTAAGAGGAGGAAGAGGAAAACAATCCAGCGCCACAAGTGAAATATTCCTATTGGTCGAAGCCAGGATCCTCTCGGGACTGCGTTTCCCCCACTCTCCTCTTGACTTCCTGGCTGAGGATAATGGATCTTGATGGAATAGGAGGGGGCACTGTTTCCCCCACCTGCTCTCCCACTCCAGTTTTATTGGTGGGTAGGGACATAGGCGGCTTTGACTGTCCTAGCTGGCACCTGGGGGGGTAGGGGCTTCCCCCGGTCCATTTTTTTTCCTTTTCCCTTATTCCCAGGAGATGCAAATGGAGGGTTAGGGCAGGCACTGGCAGAAAAAGCACGTTGGACTTCTTGCTCAAATATCCTCCCTCTTCCTCCTGGTCCACAGAGAGAGAAAAAACAGCATTAATATTTATGCAGCAATTCTCCTTCCCTTCCATTTGTCAGTTTATTTGTCCTCCACCCCTCTTTGGAGCTCCTCAAATAAGCTTTTGGAACAAAACAAAACAAAAAAACAGAAAATGGGAATCAATTCTACTTGTTTACCTTTAGAAGAAGCAAAGTGATGATTCTGAGAACAGCCCTGCACGTATTTCTTCTTCTTTTTCTCTGTTGTTTGCTTCAGTCTCTCTTAAGTTAATTTAAAAATGGCGATCTTTGGCCTTCATGCCACAGCATCTCTCTCACCCCTACGCCTTTCCTGTCATAGCGATGCAAATGATTTTGCTTATTATTTTTTTTGTTCTGCTTTGAGTTTTAAAGATGTCCCCTTGTTCCCGCCCCCCATGTCTCCTTGGTTTCCTTCCCCCCCTCCCACCCCGTTTATTTTCCCCAGCCCTGCCAAATTACTCTTTGGTGACATCCTTTAGGGAAGTGTTGTCCCCATACCCCAAATAACATGAGAGGCAAAAATAATTGTATCGTGCAGGGGGAGAGGGAGGCTGGGGAATAATTCACACACTTCCTCATTTCTCAGTGCACTTTTTTTTGTAGCAATACCAGCAACATCTGTGTCTTGAAAATGATCCAATTTTAGATATTTTTTTAAAATGTTAATTAAGTTCTACCCACTCCCAGGTGGGAGAGAATTAAAGGGCAAAAGTCTTGGATCTCAGGAACGGCAGCCTGCCAAACATAAACCCCAAAGCCAACGTCCATTGTTATAGAGAACTGTGGAGACGAAGGGGACCTTTTCATGACCAAAGTGAAACCGACATGGACAGGATCACTAGGTGAGATCGTTCCATATGGTGGCCCTCACAGCACCTGGGTACTTGCCAATTTCATTTGAAATTAAATAGGTGGAAGCAAACTTCCATTTGGGTGGAGAGAAGGAGGCCCACTGATGAAGCGTTGTGCAAGGACAATCCACTCTTTGTTGTTTTGGTCTGTTCTTTCTCAAAAACCCAAACAGCTGTCTGTATTTGCAGCTTCCCATTTGGGTGATGGCTTGCAATCGGCTCCTGCAGAACCACCGATATAGGACTGTTTTATTAGTACGGAAATGAGCAAAAGGCTTTGCAGGCCTGTTACGAAAAACATCGAAGCCATGCCAAAAATCTACCTTGCCAGGGAAGGGAGATGGCTTTAGAATGAGGCCCGCGTATGGTCTGGCTTTTATCCCTTTGTATTCCACATCACTAGCTTACACGTCTACCCCGGCCATAGACAAAGTGGTGCCTGGGTACGCTGCGGCCCATATGCCTGGATTGAACGTACACGCTTCTCCCTTCCAGTTGACCAAGTCAAAAACGAAACAGCTGGTCTGCGGCCATCAAAGCTACACCTGTCTGAGCTGCTTCATAGCATTGTGACAATAGCAGTGCAGCTTCGTTACTTCTTTAGATATATTTTTATACCAAGGGATGAGACAATTGGCCCTGTGTTGCTCCAAAATATTCTGTCTTTCACTCCGTGTGGTAATTACAGCACTTGGAATGTCGGGATGTGGCCTGCTGGGGAAATGGTGGCAGGGTTAGTACTGGGGGTGGGGGTGGGGGAATATATACTTTGGTCTCTGCTAAACTAAAGAGCATTCTTGGATGAGTGGGTTACTGCTACAGACCAAAGGAGTGCAACTTTAAAAATTCGCCACACACCTCATCATTAGTGCTAAATCATATCTATTGGACTTCATTCACCCCCTCCTAATTATGAGAGGGTTACTGCCTCCTCACCTTATAGCCTTGAAGATGTTCACTTTCTAGAACTAGATTTAAACCTCCCCCCCACCTCCCACCCCAATTTGGGTTTTAAGATTTGAACCCCTTCCTTTCGGGGTTGCGTAATCGATAGCAATCCTGCAGATGACTGAAAGGAATGGAGTGGGTGCGGAACCTCCCAGCCCAACCGTTTATTGCGAAAGCTGGCACTTAATTCTTTGTGCTTTTTTTCAAGGTGGATATGAATTTCTTTGCCCTATTTGAATGAATGTTTTTGTGGCCATTTGAAATAGATTTTAAAAAAAAGGAAAGCAGGGACTTAAACTCAGAACATGATCTCACTTTATTGATCTTAGTTTATAAACTTTGTTAACAAGCAGTGCCTCTGCCATGCTAGAATCACAAGAATACAGGAGGTCCTAGGGAAAATTCTTGATTTGGGCAACTTCCATTAAAATAGGATTGCTTAGATATGTGCAGCGTTTGAGTTTGATTCCCAAACAATGCAAAGAGAAAAACAGAATACAGCCTTAAGCATTGTGCTGGAAAAAAAATTATATAGTTCCAATCCCAGGAAGGTGTAAAAGAAATTTTTAAAAAATTAAAATGTTTATGTAGAGTGCATGAGTGTGCTTGGACTACCAGTTGCAATGTGGATTATTCATTTTTTTCTTTTTTTTTTCTTTTTGAATGTGACAAAGTTTTAAGGGACAACTCAAATGATAGAAAACAAAAAAAAAATCAATGAGGGTTGTAGTTGGCCTTCCAAGCTCTCTGGTCTTATCAGGTGTATGTTTTGGCCCATGTTGTCTGATTTGCATCAAAATGAATTTTGCAGACTTAATTGTGTGGTTGTTTTGTTTTTTTAATTATGTAACAAAAGAAAAAGGTAATTTCAAGTCTGAATAGAAATGAGATTTGTACTGGTGTAGCTCCAAAGCAGAAGAGAGATTGTGGCATTGCAAATTTAGTTACTGCTTTAAAAAAAAAGTGTACACAGGTTATGGTGTATAAGTTTCTCTTGAAGCTTCTTTGAAGCCATAGAAGTTAGGGCTTTTTAAAAAAATAAAATAAAAACAGGAAAAAAAACCTGAAAAACTAAAAATTTTAAAAAAAACCTTAAAAAATAAATTCTGCAAAAATGTTTCCTCGCGTTTTGGTTTAGTCTTGAAGTGGAAATAATTTTCAGTGACTTCTTTTGGAAAAGTAAATGGTGCTGTACAGGTAGTCCTCAAGTTACGACCGTAATGGAGCCTGCCATAGTCATGAAGCAGGTTTATCTTGTGATTGAACCAATTTTATGAAGTACTTTGGGGTGGTCCTTAAGGAATGTGGCAGTCTTTAAGAGAACCCCTAGAACGCTGCAAACAACTGTAAATGTGGACTAAGTTGCCAAGCGCCTGAAGTGCAGTCACATGACCAAGGGGTGGAAATGATCATCTGAACTTGGTCATCTTGGTCATTGGTTACCCCTCCCCTCCCAGGTAAGTCCATTGTAACTTCAAAGAGTTGCAATGTAACTGAAAGCCAAGGACTGCCTGCAGTGGTGCAGAGGGAAAGCATCTAGTCTGTAGAACAGTCTTTTTCAACCTCTGCGCCTTTAAGATGGGAGGACTCCAAATCCCAGAATTCCACACCCATCTTAAAGGTGCTGAAATTGTGAAATGGTGCTCTCCATTTTCCTTAAATGGATGCATCCCAGAAATCTCTGAGCATGAGATGAGCATCCTCCTTTTCTCCCTCATTCCCAGCACTTAAAAAAAGATTCAGTTCCTTTCTCTTTACTCACTACCAACAAATGTACAATCCACCCACTCATGAATAACTATGGTATGTCACATCCAAGTTGGACTCGTCCAAATGTTTCACCCTAAACTTAGCTTTTCCACAACCCCCCCCCTCCCTGAATGGCTGGGTTCACAAGCAAATAAACCATCTTATCCCGCAACATGATGGCTTGCATGATGATGACAATCTCATTTTGGCCTAGGCCACCATGTTCCAGAACATACGAGCAGAGATGATGCATCCTTCTGATAGGCTTCTTCACACGTTTCATGCCTTTTCTTCCCAAATGAAACTGCAAGAGCGTTTGACCCAGTTGCCAGCTGTTTCTGCTCCAACACTCTTGTTACTCTTTGGCAAGAGTATTGTCAAACATACGTCTATGTGCCAGAGGATGCAGCTCTCCTTGCCAACATTCCTTGCCAAAAATGAGCCCCCTGAACTCAAACTAGGGAAACCCAGTAACTGCCTACAATGAGCCCTCATCTAAAGAGATTTCCTACCTAACTTACAAACTTAAGAAAATCTGGGCATCAGAACAAACTGATGGTTCAGCTTCCCAGAAGTAGATAAGCAGATGTCTGAATTCCAACCTACTGATCCAAAAATAGTTTCAAGAACAGAAGCAGCTGTTAGATTCTGTGTCTGATTCTTGGTCCATTATGCTGATGCTGTCTAACTGCCACAGCTTTTCTGTTGCAGATGGCCTAACGCTTCATCAAAACAGGTCTCTCCTACACTCAAACCATATTAAAACTGCAATTTAAACTATTGGCTGTGGGTGCCCGTTCTCTCGTGTCTCTCTCATACACACGCACACACACACACACAAATACTTAAGGACAACTCTGCTGCCTTTATTCACTTGCTATTTACAAACAGAAAGGAAGGAGAGGTGTTGAAATGCTGAATAATAGTTTCTGATACAGTTATTGTATAGCATCGTATGAGCAGTCGGTGACACTATTGGAAGTTTACTCTTGGCCAAGAGTAATTTGCAAGAGTAATTTGCAAATGCTAGAATTTCCATCAGGCTCCAAGAACTTCAACTGAGCTTTCCCTTCAGTTGGTGACATTTTAATAAACAAATTTTATACAACAATCGGAGACTTACACTCCCCCCAAAGCGATTCTGAAGGATGACTGAAGTGCTTTCAACCATCCAACTTAAAGTAGCCTGCTGTCAAGAGTTGCAAACTACCTCAAAACTATTTTTAAGTAGGCCTTTTTAGAACTGTATTCAATGATTATTTTTCATCTACAGAAAAACAGATTAGCACATTGCTGAAAAAACAGTTTTCTGAAAAATGAAGGTTGGTGCAGGAGAAGATAAGGGGCTGTTGAGAATCCCCACAAATTTAGAGCCCTATGAACTAATGTGTGGATATTGAATAAGGCTCTTGACCAAAATCACTGATGTGCATATTTTCTCTACTGTCTACTGATGGAGAGCTAGTAACTGGAGAATGATTCCATTCTATATACTGGCCAGAATAGAAATGTACACAAAGTATACAGTGATTAACAATATACAGAGGAGATTCAAAAACAGATTCGCGTGACATAAGGCTCAAGGACCTCTGTGGAATAATCTCTATTTCCAGACAAGTAGTTTCAAAGGAAAACACACCTACTGACAGTGGCAAACAAACAAACAATCCAGGGTAACCCTTTTTTTTCCTGATTAAAGATTCTGTCCCAGTTGAAGACTTTATGGTCAAATACTCTGTTAGAATCAAAGGAAAATAGACTCAACTTTGGTGAAACCAAACAGGGTCTTAATGCCATCAGGAAAAATTCAAGGGGTCATATTTGAAAGCAGGATTCCCAAAGTAATGGCCAGATGGAAGTTGCAGCCCAGCACCTCAAGAAGGCACCAGGTTGGAGAAAGCAAGTCAGTGAATTTCCACTGAGAAACAAAATGTACCACAACACATCTTTCTATCATAGAGAAACTGCACAAATATTTAGTATGAGGAACTGTTTTTCAGATAATCGAACTGCTTTCTTGCTGATTTATTATTTACTCTGGAGAAGGGCATGTATACAGTTTGGGTGCAAAGAATCACACCAAATCCTTGACCAAAACAATCATGGATGTGGACAATTTTGCCATAACAATGGATAAATTGATTTGTAGATCATCACAGCGGGATTTAGTTTACCCTCCCACCAGAATAAAAAGCTGACCCAGTACCCAACCCCATCATATTTTTAGGAAGGGGGGGGACACGCTTATCTGAATAGCGCCCTCAAATACTTTCTAGGGTTGCTTGCTTCGTATTGCAATTTTCCCAAAGGAACTGATGTAGAAAAGTAGCATCAATAGCACACTGATAGCTGTGACTTACTAATAGGAAGAGGAACCAAGCACTAGTAAATAAAGCAACACCTGGCCAAGAACCTTAAAAGTCCCTTTTTAGTCAGGGACTGCCACATACAGTTAGTCCAAGTTACACTCAGTCGAAGCGCAGCTGGTGTTGCCTAGAGGCATCCTAAATGCATCTGAACAATGGTAACATGCCCCAAAAGAACCATATTCTAGCTTTAAGAATTCATGAACGTAAAAAGGCATTTTTCCTCCTGAAAAAATTCCTGAAATCTCTCTCTGAACTAGATTTCTGCAAAAAATGGCTTAAGAGACGGGGAGTTTTCTCCCTGTTTTAAGGGGAAATACACACGCGCATACAAACACAAACTAACCACAGCACCAGCCTGTCACTAGGGTAACAAGAATCGAAAATGCATTGTTAAGTTGCACTATATTAGCAGCAGAAGAAACTTTCTGAGGATAAAAGGCCAGAAATTTAGATGCATCTCTTAATTACAACAATCAAGTACACAGGGTTGCAAACTGCTCATGGCCAAGGCTGTTCTAAGGGAGACCCACAATCTGCTGCTGACTCTTCAGCAACCTCTCACAAGTAGAAAAAGTTGTCTCAAGTAGACCTTAAGGCAGCCTTTCCTGATATCATCCTCCAAGTATATTAGCCTCCTAATAATTCTGCATTATCCTCACTGAGCAGGGCTGCCTTTATCATCTCCATTCTGGATATGATCAGGGTCCTAATCTGACATATCGGGTCAGATCAGGTCACTAAAGTAAATTCACACTTTACTTTCCCTTGAAAGCCAGCAAACACACACACACACACACACACTGCAAGTGTTTCTCAAACAGGGCCCTTTTAAGAGGTTTGGACTTCAACTCCCAGAATTGAAGTCCAAACCTCTTAAAAGGGCCCCGTTTGAGAAACACTGAACTGGGAGGTCAGTTGATCAGCCTGTTTTAGCTCTGTTATTTTCTCAGGGTCAAGGATTGTCTTGAAATGCTGCTTGCCATGCAAAAGGCTCAACCTCCCCACCCTCAGCCCCCCAGCACCACCTTCAGGCTGTGTATACAATTACCCCAAAGAGAACAAGTCATTTGTCCTGCTACACAACTGGAAGGGGACAAGGGCAATAGGAACAAAGCCCTACTGCTCCGCTGATATACCACCACCTAAGCCGCCTTAGTCACCCACCTGCCTGCCTGCCAGAAATGTGGGGAGGGGGAAATCTCTTTGGTGGGGGAGGGGGAGGGGTCACTTCGCATGAGGGTTGAGTTTCCTCCAGGAGAGTGACTAGATGTAAAAGCAGCTACATTCAGTGCAGGGAATCCAACCAGCCAGATTGCCAACACAAACAGGAGAGATTGCCAGCCTCAGTCCAGCAAGGCCGACATGCATCTGGATGTAGAGCACGTGCGATCTGGGAGTGCTTGCCCAATCCGGGTCTGCCGAAGCGGGAGCCCATCCTTTCACTGTGGCAGAACAAGCTGGCGGTCTCAGGTGGTGCTGGTGGGGGCGGGGGGGGGGCGGGAAGGGAGCGCCGAGCCTGCCCGATGGCGGAATTTCCAGCAGCGCCTGCTATGTGTAGAAGATGATCTCTGGGATCTGTCCATCTTCCACCGAGGTGCCGTTGTTGTTGCCGGCAGCATAGCAGAAAGTAAAACAGGTCTTTGTCCCCGTGGTTGGTGACTCGTGGACCACCTTCCGCAATCCTTTGGTTCCATAGTGAGAGTCCGGTCCCTATATATGAAGCATTGAAACATGAAGTTGTAAGAGGGCCTTCGTTTAGTCAGGAGGCTGATCTGCTGAGCTTGGACCAGCCCCGTGACGCTTACGGGCTACAGCAGGCAAGAGCAACCCAACCCCCTCAAGTGCCCGCAGCCAGTGGTTTATTTTCAATTATTGCCTTTCTGCTTTTCCTCTCAGAGTCCCAAGGTAGCCCCACCCCAAAGAATA